AAAAGATAAGTATTATTTCATGCCATTAAGAAACATTAAGCACATCACAATAGCAAAAAATGGTGCTGGACACTAATGGTCATCAAGTAGTTAAGCATGGCAAAGAGTCCCCCCCCCCCCCTCCATCCAAGTTTAATTTCAAGAGACTAACTTTACCAAATGTCCAAGCACAGTTGCTGTGGAGGGTGGAGTGGCAATCTCCTAAGATATGGTTGCTGTCAAGGGTGGGGTGGCGATCTCCTAACAAACTTAATCCTAAAAAACACATCCCCAATTGTAAGGCAGGGCCTATTATGTGAGAACCAACAATTGGTGCTCACATTTCTCCTGGGCAATTTCCTCTGCTCAGGCTGACATGCTGACATTACACACCAAAACATATGCATTGAGTGTCATATTGCACATCATTTCATATATGCTGTATGCTTAAGCATCATATGCCATAACAAACATGCAATATATTGGCAAAATAAGACATTGTATGCTGAGCTGGACAATAAACCAATCACAAACCTTGAAAACAAGCATTCACCCACAAATTGATGTATGTTGGCTTCATTCAGGCTGCACCCCAGCCTTCTTACCAGGATTTAGCTTCGGTTTTGGGCTCCAAATTCATTTTCCCAACGCAGCCAACTTGCCAGAATTTTTCTTCTCCATGCTTGGATCGTCTATCGGCATGAATAGCCCGTGAAAAGAAAGGAGACGGGAGACTGCAAACGCATGCAGATGCGGTCGACACTTCCTTGGTAGAGCTTCATTTTAGTAAGCCATATTTGCGACGGTCGGTATTAAAAAATGGGTGAGCTGTGCTCGTATCAACAACTCGGCCTGCAGTCCGGGAGCTTGGAACAAACGAAAAACCCTTGGGTGGACGGGTCCCCCAAGAGTGAGTCAAAATAGGCGTATGCCGTATCAGCCTTCGCAAGCGTGGCCGTGCCACGCGGAATATATCCGCCCTCGCGACTTCCCTTCCGCAGCCCCCCAGCCGAATTCAATGGCTGACTTATGAACTTTTTGGCTAGTAGGATAATATTCGTATGCTAAAATTATACTACGTTACGAAAACTACTATGTATTGTATCACTCAATTCTGTGCATTCTGGCTGTATCAAGGATGTTTTGTAAGTAAAATGAATTTCTTGAGCTAAAAAATAATTATGGTGAGTTGAAAAGTGTTTTTTATCTCGAAATATTTTGCAAAGAACAACTATATAAAAAGCAAATATCTAGTAGCTATATCAATGCAGACGGACCGCAACACTTAGAAGCACTCAGTTGTAGGCAGACTAACACTGAGCACAAATATCATAGTACTATTCCGGACCACGGGATTCTTCTTATTTGCGGTACCACAAAGATGAGTAACATAAGGCAAGTTAAGATTATCCAAAATTAGTGATAATTGTGCATTTTTAGGTGCGCAGCATGGCTACTCTTTCAAATGTGACGTCATTCTGTTGTTTTAATTCTGTGAAAACATATACGGTGCCCTCAATAAGTCACAGGTTGTGGCATTGACCTATACAAGTCTTTTATAGGTCAATGGGTTGTGGTGTCTCGCCCAAAGCCGATTGATTTCCTCATTCTCCGGGATATTGCACGCTTGAAACAATTTTTGATCAGAGAGCACGGGATGTTTCAGGTCGAAGCTTGTCCTGTATTAAAACCACCGATAAAATGCGCCTTGCCCCAGTAGCTCATAGTTTTCAGACATTTCTGAGTTAATCTTTCGAGCTATGGGTCATTCAAGGAGAGCTTGCTGAGTTGGCACTATCCGAAATAAGTCTGACAGTTTCTCCCCGGAAATGCGTCAAACCCTTTTACCTGTTTGCGCACGATCATCACGTGGTCTGACATAACCTGAACAAGCGACAGCACCTCCCGTGAAGAAATCCTGGATCTGCCCCTGTGAGCCATGGCATCGGAGTTAGCACTTTTTCCCTTTTGCCATCGAAACAATTGACAAATTTTATGTAATTATCTGAGCTCCCACGTTACATCCTATTAGTTCTTGGGCTCCAGAAGGTTGGGGAAAGGGGAAATTGAAGCATTGGGGGGGGGGGGGGGGGGGGGGGGGGGGGGGTGGGGGGGGGGATCGTGGGTCCCACCTAAAGTAAAGAAAATTGACACCTGGGGAATAGAACCTGCATCTGGCAGTCGCGCTGGGGTGCGTCTGAGCCGTATTTTGGGGTCGGTCAGTGGGAACCACGGTTCGTCGTCGGTAAATTAAAATAGCAGATAAGGTGTGAATCCCGTACCCGCTGCTCTCCACTGTGGGTTTATTGGCGTCTTGACCTAAAGAAAACTACATTACAAGCACTGGTGAGCTAGGAATAGGCATATACGGTCGGAGTTATATAATTGCTAGCGATTTTAAGTTGCGACAGCTAGTACTGAAATATCCTGATGCTTGTACTACACCCATCTCTACCACAATTTGTTTTTGAAATCCGAGGCGGGAAGTGGCGCGGCATTGGCGTCGGGCTGGTTTTAAGGCGGAAAATACCCGGACTGGGTACGTTCTGCAGCGTTCTGCGGTATTGTGTACACAGGGATCGGCAAGATTTTCGCAGGCTGCTTCGTAGGAAGGTTCGTATTTCTTTGAGTGAAAAGGGACGGGTTGTTTGAACGAAACATTGGATTGGTTGGTGGCGCCTGCCTTCCTAAGGACATATCCAAAAGTGGTTTTGCCGTTCTCACAGTTTGATGCACCAGCAAAGGTGGTGCAATATGATCTCTGCAGCCAGAAGGCGCTAAAACCCCATTAACATCAGCAAAGACATGACTAGATATTGTGGAGTCTTATGCAAACCTGTAGACATCGCAATCTTTGTTACTTACCTGAATGTGGTTTGTATCATTACTGTGCATTGTTCATACAAAGGCAGCATTGTTTGCCATTAAAAGCAAAAAATATTTACAAAGCTGTGAGTGTGATGCACACACACATATATATATATATACATATATATATATATATACACACACATATATATATATATATATGTATATATATATATATATATATATATATATATATATATATATGTATGCTAACACTATCACTATCACCATATTTGTTTCAAAAATGACAAGTGATTACAAAACAGGTGGATGTGGTTTGGTGGTATGGGGATTGACCTCAGTGGATCTAGAAGACATATGTAGTGTGTTGCATAAGTGAGGCTTCAGAATATGAGGTTTTACTTCATGTTGGCAAAACAGGTCATGCTTAGCATTTCAGCACCTAACTTAGGCTTCATCAGAGCAATCAAAATTAAACAAGCAATTTGATTTGAGATGGGTGAAAATAGACCACTTGCATTTTTATATAAATGATTGAAGAGTTCAGTGTAATACTGAGTTTGATAATTGCCAGTGGGGCAGAGCACAGGTGTGGCACAGACATCTTTTACATTGGAGATTTTTTTTGGTGGACTGGGCACAGTTACCCTGTGTCCAGCCTCACCTGCAGTGCAGTGTGGCAGCTTTTCCAGTGGTGTGCCTGTGCTACACATTTCACATAATGGAGGTATTTTATTCTCCTGGTGGGGTAGGGGCTAAGTTGTTTGGCTGAGCCTCAATGCTAGCCATGAAGTGTGCTTAACCAACGAAGTGTATGCTTGATGTACATAAGTGCATTCAGGTGCACTCGAGATTCCAAGTTAGGTGCATTTCAAATGGTTCAGTGAAGGGTATATTGGCATGGCCATTTGATATGATTATGACAGAACTGGTTAACATTTTCCTGCCCACATTTTTATTATACATGTAACTTGCAAAGCTCTCATGTTGTGGCTGAAATTTATCTAAAAGTGTACCTGAAACCCATGTGTACTGAATGAAAGTTTACAAAAAATGCCCATCACTACACATGGAGCTGTGCCCTCAGATTTCAGGTCACCAGATTGGCAGTTGTCAGATGAAGTTGCATTCATTAAATGGCCCATGCCCACACTGATGCTACACCAGTTTTGAAGGCTGGTAGCTTCAGGCATGTAACACCAGATTTGAAAATAAAATATGCTGTTTCAGGTAATGGCACACACACAGGTCCACAAAATTGGGCATTACACCCATGTCAGTTGCTATCATTTCAGATGGCAAATAAGTTCAGGGTTAGTTGACTATGGATGCAAAGTAGTGTGATTGTGCACACAACCAGATAAAAACGAAGTGCATTCTCAGAATGACTACTGTACACTAGAATCAAGAAGGATTGTTTTTGCAGCTCTTACACATTGTAGGCTCACAAAGTGTTACCCAAATGTTGATACATTTTACTTTTGCATGACAGCATGGGCTGAATGGGTCAGATTGAACAGTGTATGTCGACGTGGTCGGCGCGGTCGCCACATTTTCTGCGTGTCAACATCGGTGCGACCACTTGTCCAATGCCTTTGCCATCATCCGATTAAAAACTCGCTGGTGTTTCGTCCATCTCACACTGCATTGGTCATAAGGAAGCTGTATGCTGCATTGGTCGATCTAGTTGATCTTCTTGTCTCCCGTGTCTTTTCCGACGAATGTGCTGCGAAACCTCGCGTGACGAAAGACCCAAAGCGTTCGTCCCAGTGTGTTATTGTGTTGACTATTCGGTGATCACCGAATGTCTTATGATTGACGGCTGGGCTGAGAATGCCAGTGCCACGCTCTTCCGCGCGGGCCGCACCATCGCTGCTCCGTCGCCTAGCCGCCGCCAGACGCCCCCGCCTCCCGTGCCACTCGCCCGTGCCCTTTCCTAATTCTCCCATGGCACCTGCGGCAGCGGCGGCGGCGGCGGGCGGCGGCGGGCGGCGCCAGACGGTATTGATCGCGAGATGGGACGAGCCGGGCGGGAAGGTGACCGCGGCGCGCCGGCAGTGACCCTGGCGCGGTCAGGGCCTCCGCTCCGGCCACGCCGGGCCCGCCGCGCCCGGCAGGGTCAAGGTCGTCGCCGCAGCCGGCCTCCGTCAGCGTGTTGTGTGTGGTGCGGCATCAGTCGCTGCCGGTCTCTACATGTTTCGCGACTCGGAAAATTGGCTTTTCTGGGCGTGTCCGTGATTTGCTGTGGTGAAGGCTGTGAATCATGTCAGTCCAAAGCTGTTTTGAGGTAAGACGTGGGACGTGCCGCAAGTCCATGTGTATGCGAACTTTGGCCAGTGGAGCCGTCGCCCCCTCCCCCTCCCCAGAATCTCCGATTGCAGCGCTCGTTGGCTACGCCACCATGTTCCGGATGCCGTGCTGCGGTCGTGGTGTGACGCCGTCGTGCCTCCCGTGTCATGTGCTGTGGCCGTGGTGTGACGCCGATGCCGTGCCCCCGCCCCCGCCCCTGTCATGTGCTGTGGCCGTGGTGTGACGCCGATGCCGTGCCCCCCCCCTCGCCCCTGTCGTTGCTGCGGCCGTGGTGTGGACGCCGATGCCGTGCCCCCCCCCCCCCCTCGCCCCTGTCGTTGTGCTGCGGCCCGTGGCGTGACGCCGATGTCGTGCCCCCTTCCCCCATCGTGTTCTGCGGGCCGTGGTGTGACCCCTCCGCTTTGCCTCCCCTGTCGGTGTGCTGGCGGACGTGGTGTGACACTTCTCTCTGTCGCCAGATGTCGGATGAGAACCGGCCGGAGGCCGCGTCACAGCGGCGCACGGCGCCCTACCCCGCCGGCCTCAAACTGGCCGCCGTCGCCGACCGACCTGTCCTGAAGGAGACCAACCGCGGCCCGAACGCTCAGGTCAGTGGCCGACGGCCAGGTCGCCGGACCTGTGGAGGTCGGTGGCCGACCCCAGCTCGCCGGACCCGGGTCATGAAGTGACCTGCGGAGCCGGGGACAGCCCGACTCAGGACGATAGGGATGTACGAGCACTCATGGAAGGGCTCCGGCGCGCGCTGACCCGTGCTGGAGGTTACTGAGGGTCGAACGACAGGATAGCGACAGTAACTTGCTGCCGTTTTGCCTTGTATCATGAATAGACTATTCCACCTCTTTGTGATAAGGCTGCTGTCGTAGAAGAGCCGATGCTATGGAGGCTGAGTCTTTATACCTAGGGACAGTTGGTTGGGCTCCGGAACAACGCTTTCGTGCTTGGCAGAAAAGGTTCTTGCCGCAGTTATTTTCCAGATGACATCTGTTTTGATTACATGCATTTTCGTTGCCAGGGCCCATCAGAACTGAACGGCACATTCTTAACAATAACTCGTGTTATTACTTAGGCTTCTGGTAGCTGGTAAATAAAAATGCTTCATGCCGTTCGGCGGCCAAATCGGGCTGGTTTGGACACTCTCCAGTAAGCGCCCTTGTTGGCGGCAGATCAGCAGGCCCGCTCTGATGACAGGCGTAAACAAGGCCACGGTGGTCCGGGGAGGCTGGTCCGTTCCCTTGTTTTCGTCTGAGATGTGATCTTTCTTCAATATTTCCGTATGTGAAAGTGTTCAAAGTAGAGTCTTCAAACAAGGCCTAGTACTTGAGTGTTTGCGTAAGCTCCCAGGAGAATGTATCGGTGTGACTAGTGGCGCCATGTCCACATCTGGGCCGGCCCGCCTCCCTCCCCACTCTCGTCCAGGCCGCCCACGCATGGCTGGCAAGTTCGCGCACACCCGGCCCACACTCGAGTTCGAAGCGTCATTGGGGCCGCGTCCACGCCGCTGGCCGAGCTGCTCCGGCTGGCCGTGCAGGGCGGCGTCGGCGGCGCGCGAGCCGACCGCGTGGGCTTGCCTGCGCCAGGACGCTGCCCGGCGCAATCAACTCGTTAAGCGAGGGTCTGGACTCTGTTGAGGCATATTTGTGTGCGGTTGGCGGTGATGATTGACGACTAAGCTTCAAACTGGACCTGCCCGTCGAGGAACTGCATCCGTCGCAGAATCATGCAGCTTGCGCGATCCACCGAATCAGCAAACTCAAGGCGAGTGTGTCTTCTGAAGTGAAGCTGCGTGGGCGGACGGGTATGGCGGATGTTCGGGCTCGTGGGCGGACGGGAGTTTAAAAAGCAAGGCTTAGCCTTAGTAGCCCCGGACGGCGCGGCGCAACGGCAGCGCCACGGCAGCCCCGGAGCGGCGCCACGCAGTGAATCAGTTCCATGGCGGCAACGGCAGCATCAACAGCAGCCCCGGAGAGGCGCCACGCAGTGAATCAGTCCCATGGCGCAACGGCAGCACCACAGCAGCTCCGGAGCGGCGCCACACAGTGATCAGCTCCACGGCGGCAACGGCAGCACAGCAGCCCTCGGAGCGGCGCCACTCGGTAATCAGTTCCATGCGGCAACGGCAGCACCACAGCAGCCCCGGAGCGGCGCCACGCAGTGAATCAGTCCCATGGCTGGCAACGGCAGCACCACAGCAGATCCGGAGCGGCCCGCCACAAGTGAATCAGCTCCACGGCGGCAACGCAGCACCACAGCAGCCCGGAGCGGCGCCACTCGGTGAATCAGTTCCATGGGCGGCAACGGCAGCACCAGCAGCCCCGGAGCGGCGCCACACAGTAAATCAGATCCACGGCCGCAACAGTAACGCCGCGGCGGGGCTGCTGCGAGGGGGAGCCACGCAGGAGTGAAAAAGGCAGCCACCGTCGGTCCTAAGCGCAGCTGTTTGAATGGGGGGGCGCTGCAGCCTGATAAGCCCTGTCGCCACATCGTCATCACGCCCAAGCTGGGCATCGGACCGCCACACGCTCGAACGGGGGCCGCGGCCAGCGTCAGCTCTGATGAAGAGGCCGGCGTAGCCAGCGTCTGCCCTGGTGAACAGGGCCGGAGGAAGCCAGTGTCTGCTCTGGTGAACAGGCCGGCGCAGCCAGCGTCCGCCCCCGGTGAACAGGCCGGGCGGCAGCCAGCGTCTGCTCTGGTGAACAGCCGGCCGCGGCCAGCGTCAGCTCTGATGAACAGGCCGGCGGCAGCCAGCGTCTGCTCTGGTGAAACAGGCCCGGCGGCAGCCGGTGTCTGCTCTGGTGAACATGGCCGGCGGCAGCCAGCGTCGGCTCGCTGTAGAAGGGAGTATGCTACCTTTGGGGCATATTACAGAAACATACTCTGGTGAAACCTCATGACTAGTTACGTGTAATAACAGAAGTGCTGTGACAACTGCAGTACCGACGAGATCTTATGAAATTATTAATAACTATTTTCGAGTCCAAATTGCGCTTATCAACGTTTGGTCACAACATACACACTTTTGTATTTGTTGGCCCTTAGTGTAACCTGAGTCAACGGATGGGCTGACAGACGATGAAATCTGCTGAGGGCCGTCGCCAGCTGTGACGAACCCGCACATTGCTTGTGTTGAAAAGTGGTTCCTCTTTCTGCGTGAATGACGTCAGTACAAATGAACGTTTGTGATTGTTACAACGCGGGCGCAACCATTTGCCAAGAACGCATTGGTTGAAGTTTGAACCAGTCGGGTCTTATAGAACGTGTAATGCGTCGGTTCCAGTGCGAAAGTACGCGTTCGAAGAGAACCGCTGTGCCAAACGCCAGTTGGGAGAAAATCAAAACCATAGCATGAAGTTTCGCCCAATTCGCGTGATGACGGCTCCATTTTTGTATGCATTTATCGCCGAACAGAATGCTCCAGGTTTCGTAGCATGTTTGCCTGATCACTTTGACCAATGATGTACGTGTAAACAGGGCAAAACAAACGTTGGAAAAAGGAAGCAAAGAAGAGTGTTAATTTCATAATGATAATCGCGCAGTCCAATGCTGTTTCTGGTCGTGTAAGCGGCCACGTCAAATAGGAATGTCCGAGTTGTTCAGGATTTACAGGAAACTAGTAGTACCGATCAAATTGAACGCGTCAGATCAACAGCGAGTCAAAAGGGACTTGCTGCTCTTCAGCTTAGGCCGTTTATGCAGGAGTTTAAGGTGAAAAGTAGTTTTACGAGTGTAAGGTGTCCTGGTACAACGCACCCTTTCTGGCATACTGCGAAACCATACTTAAGCATCTACCGAACCGTACATACAGTTTGACTGTTTTCACTTGCCATCTAGACGAGGTGGGAGTTCGCGCCGATTTCATTAAATGGATGCCAGTTACAGATGCCAGGTGTCACTAACCCACAGTTTATGAAACGCGTATTTCGAACATTTCGGCCATAATTGGTACGTGTCGTGTGGTCCAACGTAATCGCTTACGTCATGCCTGTCGGGCCGGCCTCTGGCGGAGCGCGTCCGGATGGGCCGTAGCTGTCCGGCGTCCCGAGCATCGATTGCCGGTACTCTCATGGGGAGAGCGACGCTGGATTTGTCACACAAGTGGTAGGCGGATCATGCCGCCACAATGTGCGTCCAGTTGCAGTGTCGTACCCGATCGGGCTTCTGTCTAAGGCGGGTCCGGTGCTGGCGAGTCCGTGCTTGCGACGTACTGTGAGCTCAGGCGCTCGTCCGCGGCACGTGCCGATGCGATCGGACTGTCCGTCCCGTCTGTTTTTTTTGTCGGCTAGCCACCGCGACGGCAAAGCCATGGCGGCACGACACCACACAAACCCAGAGTTAAAACAAACGTTAGTTCGAGCTCTTGGCAGAATGGTATTGTAGGAGAAACTTAGACCATTTCACTCGCATCACATGCATACACTGCCAATGTACGATTTGCGTGAGCGCGTCTTCAGTCCGGCGGGCCACACTCACTGTGAAGTGTTGTAATAACGACGCGTGAAGCATGCAAAATGCCCATAAGTATACTGTGTCGAATGTTCGGACATGAATGATTTAATTACATTGTGCCTACACCTATTCTCCGATCAAATCCTGGTCATTCCGCCGGTCGCAATAATGGCTCGAAATTAGGTGTGAGGCGCACACTAAATGGGGCCTGTTGGTTAGAACTCGAGCACCAAGTCGAAGGATGGTTGCGGCCAGATAGCCTCGCGAACGCGGCACTCGCTTCAAATTCTTGTCAAAACCCCAGTGCTCGTAGGGTTGAAATGATGTGAAAAATCAGCCCGGCTGGTCTCACCACCGTCCGATTGTCGAATTACAAACTTCACTGCCCATAACGCACACCGCTCCGTCCGGAAGATCGCGCCATTCATTTTTAGAACGGGGGGGGGGGGGGGGAGAGGATGAAATGCTCCTTGCCGGTCTTACCTGAACTGTGTGAAAATGGCTCGTGATCCAAGGCCGTTTGCCGTGTCCGGCAGGCGATTCATCTGGTCGGCCCGGGTTGTGGCCAAAAATTCTCCAGAAAGTGTTTTGACATTTTAGTATTATGACACAAAATATTACGAGATTCAGCAGCCCATCGACTGCAGAACAAATCTCAACCGTTGTGGATATCGCGTCTGTTCTGCTGTACAAGCTTTTTTGGAAGTTGCGTTGTGAAACGTCGCCATTAAGTCTTCAGAAAGGCTTAATTAATATAATTTTTAGAAATTTTAGATTTAATTAATAGAAAAAATAAAATTCGGATATTTGACGAAGAAATATCCGAATTGAGGAGCCACGCGTTACGTTGACGCATTGATGCAAAAACGGTTTTTGTTAGCCCTTATTTTCTAAAGTGATCTCATGCCTTGGGTGGGGGTCAAAAACTGAAACTGGATTTTCGTCACGTTCTGGGGAAAACTGACGCTTCATCTTGGACTCCACTGCGTGCGGCGAGGGGGCCTAGGAAAAGAGGTTGCGGGCGGCCTCTCACTCCCAGCCCATCCCCACCGTACAGCAGCAACCAGACCTGAGAACGCTCTGCGAACGCCCGTCTGGCCTGGGTGCGGGCGTGCATCGTGCGTGTTTGAGCCGTGCTGCCAGC